ACACACACACACACACACACACACACACACACACACACACACACACACACACACACACACACACAGGGGTTAGGGTTGAACTTGCCGCCGGTTGCCGTTTACGCAGCGCAGGAGCGACACATGAGATAATGCCACAGTGACAGGAAGGTTGTCAGGGCCTCCTCATATTTTAACTTCAAATACATCATAAACTTAAAAATAACTACATTAGATAAAACAACAACAAAAACAAATAACATCTAATTCATCATCAGTAAATAAAGGGAAAGTCCGTGTTGTTTTTCTGCCCAGATCGCACTCGGAGGGAGAGCCCTTGTGCGCGCTGTACGTCCTGAAATGAGAGAATTGCGCCTTGCATAGGAGATAATACTAAATATATTGTATGTACAAAAATAGAGATGAATCTTCTTTTTAAACTCAGCCCTGCAAAGCGCGGTATACGGCTGAGTTTCTGTGCGCGCGCAGAGGCTCGGGTGAGTTGATCTGACAGAAGCAGCGGCCATGATTCGTGTTGACGGATCTGAACTAGAGGTGTTTGTTTTGGAGCATGCAGAACCAGGTTATATATGAAGCCTAAATTGATTTGCCTCGTGGCCTGGCGCGCAACACACACTGAACAATGACAGGCGTTTGATGGATTTGCTTTATTAGCACAAATCTACTTAAGCCCCGTTTAAGTAGCAGATTTATACAGTCATGTGTTGCCCTGTAAAAGCTGAGCACATGATGGGTTACCACCCTGTAAAACACACCRAGACGTGGGAGTTTAATGCTTTCTAATTAAATCCTCAATCAATGTGAGAAATGACTAAAACCAACAACCCCCTGCATTTTTATATGTATATATATTTAAAAAAAATCTACATTTGTGTCGCATTACAGTAGGCTAAGATCTCAGAGCTGATACTAAAACACCATAGCTCCTAAATAGCGATTTAGGTATGTGAAAACTTTCCAACTGCGGTCTGAATTTTGAATGTTAGAAACAGCAGCGTTTTGAGCATCTGTATTTTTAAATTATTTTTAATCAGCGCTTGTTTCTTGTAGAACTGTATTAATTCCATGCACATTATGTGTTGCCCACATCACACATCATAAAGTACACTTTTAAAATGAAKATATGTAGATTTGGACCATTAACATGTGCTCTAACTAGAGAGAAGACCAGAAGCTGGAAGTTGAAGCCACCATGAAAGAGCACCCCTAGTGGTCAGCTGCAGTACAAGTTTAAATCTCATACCTCTGTGTAAACAAATGGTAGGCCACGTTTGTCTGAGTGAGAAAATAAAAATACAATTCAGATATCTGTTATTATTAATATTATTTTTGACACCTTACAGCATAATTTTTAAATATGCGTATTCAGTCCTTTTATTTTAAATTAGTAGTTTGAGGCTCTAAGAAAATGTTACAATGTGCACCCTCCCAACTCACAACAGCCTGTTGGCAATTTGGAAGAGTGAGTTGGCAGAATTTCTGCATTATTAGTAAAGACCTACATTCTGAGTGAGTAAAAATACAGAAATTTACAATTTGCCTTCAACTTTGAATGACAGGAAAAACTAAAGACGCTGCATCTCTCTCRATCCTTTAAACCAGATTTGTGAAAGATTATTATTTATGATCAGTTTGGTTTTTAGACCTGGACATGCTTTCTGGGTGTGCAGTTAAAAAAAAAATAATAATAATAAAAAATCGTGGTAGCACTCTGGTGGTGGGTTGGAGATGCCTACAAAAACCATGAGAAAATAGTATTTGAGGTTTGAGATGCCAGAGACCACTCTGTGACCATTTCAGGAAACAATTAGTTGCACAACTTTTGAACACGTTCAAAACTCAAGACTATGAAACTCTGCGACAAAATACACAGAAGCCTTGCCAGTATTTCCAGTCATCCTGGACAATTCTTCATGAATGTTTAGTCACCGACACTCACAGCCCAGTGAGATTTGGGCTTTAGAGGTGGTTTATTGGTGCTTTCTCCCTTTTGTAATGGGATCTAATATCAAAAGCTCTTTATAAAATCAATATCACAGAAAAAGTCCACTTTTTACTGAATCCAACTTCCTGTGTCAACTTCCACACATACAAAGTACATCAGCTTTAACACTGCTGCAGCTGGAGATCAGGACATCCATGTTGGTCTTCAGTTGGAGCTTCCAGCCTTCACGGTTTCCTCATCCACTTGTCCAGAACTTCACATTAACCTCATATCGGAGATGATGTGTGGCTCGTGATTTATTAGTGTTAAATGCTTGTATGAATGTATGGTACTGGGGCTACAGCAGGTTCTATATGAATGAAATCTACTGTAATATGTAAGCTTTTGATTAAAAACTAAATAGGGCAGCATTTAAAAAACAGTTGATTCATGAGTTTTGGGTTCCCTTTGAATGGATAGCCTATCTGTGTGAATGTGTGTGCATGGCTGTGAGTTATTCTACTCCTTGGGTTGGTCCTTGCTCTGTTTCTTCATTTTCATTCTCCGGTTCTGAAACCAGATTTTAACCTGCCGCTCTGTCAGGCTGAGCGCACGTGCCACCTCGTGCCTGCGGTCCCTTGTGAGGTACATGTTGAACAGGAACTCCTTCTCCAGCTCCAGGGTCTGGTATTTGGTGTACGGGCAGCGTTTCTTCCTGGAGGAGCGCGCGTGCAGCCAGTTGGCTGAGGGGTCATCTGAAGATCAAACGGGAGAAGAAAAAATGATAAATAAACATCARTTCTAATTATCAGAAAATGTGTTCATTCAGTCTCAGCTAAAATCACACCAGATTTTAGTTCCATATAAAACTGATCGAGTTATGGATCAGTTTTTTTTTTGGGGGGGTGGGGGTGGTTGTTTTGAGTCAGTTGACTGTGGTGGCCATCTTGAATGGAAGTGACTCCAAGAATGATCATTTTGATGAACACTGAACAATTTTCAAAATGTATCACTGATTAGATATTTTGCTAACAGACAGAAACACAAAGCCATGACCACTCATACACAAGTAACATGCTGCTCGACCATCACCTTTCAGACACAACTAATAAAAAAACTAGACACCGCATAGAGGTGACATACTGACCCCCGCATGCACAAATGCACCAGAACTCAGAAGTCTTTCTTCTTAATAAATGTCATACTACTAGGTGCATTCCAAAATTGTAGTGGCTTGGGA